GTGTGTGTTGGCTCTTTAATGAGAGCCACTGCCGCTGGTACAGCTCCTGCAGGTTCCGCCATGAATGTGCACACTGCGGGGGAGCCCACCCCGCTGTGCGCTGCTTCCGAAAGGGGAAGCCAGTTTCGGGAAAGGGTCCCTCTCGAGATGACATACCTAGAGGAGAGGACGCCGGTGGACGCCCTAAGGATGCTCCCGTGGATCGCCCGGTATCATAGGGGTCGCGATGCACAGACATTGTTTGATGGTTTTCAGGTAGGTTTCTGGATCCCCTTTGTTCCCTCTTCTTTCCCTCGGTTCGTGGACAATCTCCGCTCGGTTAAGGGCAAAGAAGATATTTTACAGTAAAAATTGCAGGTGGAGGTGCAGGCGGGTCACATGGCTGGCCCGTTTAGTGCGCCACCTTTTCCTAACTTGAGGGTCTCCCCTCTGGGATTGGTTCCCAAAAAGGACCCAGGTTCCTTTCGTTTGATCCAGCACCTATCCTACCCGGCGGGTGAATCGGTAAATGATGCCATTGGCAAGGACATCTGTCGCGTGCGATATGCATCATTTGATAGGGCTTTGGAGTTAGTTCGTCGGGCCGGGCAAGGTGCTTTGTTGGCAAAATCTGACATAGCATCGGCTTTCCGTCTGTTGCCAGTTCACCCCTCCTGTTTTCACTTGCTAGGCTGTTTTTTTCAGTGTTTTTTTTACTACGACATGTGTTTGCCCATGGGTTGTTCTATTTCTTGTTTTTATTTTGAAATGTTTTCCTGTTTTCTCGAATGGGTAACGCTACAGGAGGCGGGTTTGGAGTCTGCTACTCACTACTTGGATGACTTCCTTTTCGTTGGCCCTCCGGGTTCGGGTGAGTGTGAGCGGCTTTTACAAACGTTTCGGGCTGTCATGGGATATTTCGGGGTCCCCATTGCAGAGGCTAAGACGGTGGGCCCGGTTCGGGTTTTGTCATTTTTGGGGATTGAGATCGACTCTGTCGGTATGGTTTTTAGGCTGCCGGAAGAGAAGGTGTCGGTTCTCTTGCGGACGATCGACCTGGTTCGAGGGGCGAGGAAGGTGCAGTTGCGGCAAATGCAGGTGCTTCTGGGGCACTTGGCCTTCGCTTGCCGAGTTCTTCCCATGGGACGTGCGTTCTGCAGGTGCCTCTCCTTGTCCACGGTAGGGGTTCGGGAGCCTTTTCATTTAATCCGAGTCACGCGGCGTCTGCGCGCGGACCTCCAAGTTTGGAGCTCCTTTTTGGAGCGCTACAATGGACGCTCCTGCTGGTTGCTGGAGGCTGTGTCTAACTCGGAGTTGAACCTCTTCACGGACGCATCCAGCTCCGTGGGTTTTGGGGCATATTTTCAGGGTAAGTGGTGCGCGGAGGCATGGCCAGCTCGATGGCGGGGTTTGGATGTTATGCGTAACCTGACGTTTTTGGAGTTGTTTCCCATTGTTGTCTCTCTGGAGCTCTGGGGGGAGGCTTTGGCCAACAGGACTGTTGTTTTTCACACGGACAACATGAGTGTTGTCCATGTGATAAACCGTTCCACCTCCAGTTCCCCTCCAGTTCTCGCGCTACTGCGACGGTTGGTACTTCTTTCCTTGAAGTTCAATGTTTGGATTAGAGCTTGTCATGTCCCGGGTGTTGACAACGTGGTAGCTGACTCTCTTTCTCGGTTTCAGTGGGACCGTTTTCGGGAGTCGGCGCTAGCCGCGGAGGCAGTGGGTATCCGATGTCCGGTTTCCTTATGGGCGATCGATTTGGAGGATTGAGGAGCTTGGTGTCGGACTCCTTAGCTGACTCTTCCTGGAAGGCATATCAAGCCGTCTGGCGGACGTGGCTGTCCTCGTTTTCGCAGGATATGATGCTGGGGTCGGAGTCCGGGCGCTTGGAGGCGACTCTGCTACTGTTGGAGTCCATGTTTGCGCAGGGTAAGTCTTGTTCTGCGGCCGAGAAGGCTTTGAGCACCCTATCTTTTCTTTGTCGGTCTATGGGTTGGCAAGACGTTTCTCGGTGGTTCGGTATTCAGCGGGTTATTCGGGGTTGGAGACTTAGGAGGGCCCCGGACCGCCGCCTCCCGGTGTCAGCCGACTTGCTGGGACGGATCCTGGCGGCTCTGGGGGCGGTTTGTTTCTCAGACTATGAAGCCTCATTATTTCGGATTGCATTTGCTTTTTGTTTTTTTGGAGCTGTTAGGGTGGGCGAGTTGGTGGCACGCAACCGTTGGGCGGTGGGGCCGCTGCTCATGGCGGATATCCGGTGGTCCGAGGACTACGTAGATGTTTTCATACGGCGTTCCAAGACAGACCAGGTAGGTAGGGGTTCATTGGTGCGTATCGGTGTCACGAGAGGCAGGTTTTGTCCGGTCCGTCTTTTCTCAGAGTATTTGCAGATTCGGCCGGTGTGGTGCCTCTCCTTTCTGGTGCATAGGGATGGGTCCCCCCTTACACGTTATCAGTTCTCAGCTAGGTTCCGTGCTGCCTTGGTTGCATGCGGGGTAAATCCTCGCCATTATTCTACTCATTCTTTTCGGATAGGGGCGGCCACCCAAGCTAGTTTGTGGGGTTTCTCGGACGCAGCGATTCAGCGCTTGGGTAGATGGGGTTCACGGCGCTACAGGTCCTATGTCAGACCTCATTTACTATAATGCAATCTCTCCGTAGGTCCTCGGCCCCGCTGCATTTGGATACTGGGACATTCCTACGTTTATTGGGCTGCGCGGCGAGCGGAGGAGCGTCCCTACGGGAGGAATTTGGGTTTTTCCTACGAGATAGCCAGGGTAAGGTGGAGGGGTATTAGGGGTATGTTGTGGCAGCAGCTGTATTCGGAGTGTGTATCCCTTCGTAGGTACGTGTCGGGGCCAGTAACCCTAGTAATTCATGCAGGGGGAAATGACCTGGGGCGCAGTAGGTCAGTGGACCTCCTGCATGCGATTAGACACGATCTGGCTCGGTGTATGGCTCTTTTCCCCGAGTTGACCCTGATCTGGTCGGACATAGTGTCCAGGCCGCGTTGGCGTTCGCTGCCGCATGCTAAGGGCGTGGAGCGTAGTAGGCGCAGGCTCAACGTGGCCATCGGGAAATTTGTCCGCCGGATTGGTGGTTTTGTCATTAGGCACAGGGAGCTGGAAGGGGACAATTCCGACTTGATGCGGAAGGATGGGGTGCACCTTTCCCTCATAGGATTGGATATCCTGAATGCGGGGCTTCAGGCAGGTATTGAGGAGGCACTGGCTGCGGGGGGGGCGCGGTCCCTCCCAGGGGAGTAGGTAGGGAGGAACCGCGGTGGCGGTAGTCCTGGCCAGCGAAGAGGTTTGGAAGAAGTGCCCAAGCGGCTTGGGGAGTCGCAGCCTGCTGAGAGCTGATGGCGGGGGCAGGCTGCATTGGACTCGTGGGTCTTTTGATAGAGCTGTCTGTTGGTAATCCCCAACAGCTGACAGGTTGTGGACGCTGGTGATAATCGATGTTAATTCTGTTAATAAAGCTGTGGCCGTTGCCCTTACCCATACAGAAGGTGTTGTGTATTTATTGGGCAACGGGGGGTGGGAGTTGGTCCGGGGTCAGCAGTCATGAGTGACATGGGACTGACAGCCATTTAAGAGCGCACAATTCAGTTTGGAAGTGGGTGCTGTGCAAACGTGCGGGGATGGAACGTGAAGTCGTAGCCCCGCTCTCTATCACATCTCTGACACAGTCGGTTTGACACCAGGACTTTCACTCCCATGCTGCTCGGCTGCTCAGGGTGCAATATGCACACAGACTACAAAAACTGCCTGCAATTGCAGGAGGAGTTATTATACAGGTACTAACTTCAGATAACCTGTATGGCATCTCATGTGAAGAACTTGTCCTGATGCCCCCCAAAGGATCTACGTCTAGTTGTAGACTAATTAAATGTGCTGTGTTTTTCCAGTTTAGCGTTTATTAAAGAAATTTAAAAATATGAAATAAATATATAGACTTACAATGTGTACACATAACATCACATCAAAATTGTCTGCTCAGACAAATTTAAAAAAAACTGATTCAATTTTAGAATTTTTGAATGTTAATATAACATACATACAGCTATCTGCATCGTATTGCTTGATGTAAAGTGCTTGCAAGTGACAGATCCACTTTAAGTATGAAAACAAAGGAAGTGATTTAAATTGTGCCGTCTCCCTTTCTCTTCTTATTTGTAACTTGGATATTTAGGCTTAAATCACCGTCACATACTGCCATGCATATTAAAATGTCATCCACTAGAATTTCTTTTATTCAACTTTATTTTTTTTATTTTGTTTAATTCTTTTTTTTTTTAGTTGTGCAAAAGTCAATTAACAGGCAAGCCGGTTATATCACAATAGCATACTCCAGCATATCAGTGGTTGTATGGCTAGACATAGAAGTGGCATGCATAACAATTACACATTTTTATGAAGGTATGAGCAAACGATTCTTGTGGTACAAGCATTTTTAAGAATAGGAATAGTAAGATTGGGGTAGACTTGCTAGTCTGCATACAAGCTAAGTACAGTTAACTATGGTAGCAAGTTTGTTTAGTAGTCGCATGAAGGATGTCATTGGGCTAGGTCTTTGCCCTATAGCACTGAGTTAAACCCCCCTTACCCTGTAATAGACTACAACCGGTTTCTGCAAGTAGATTTGTGGGTCTATGCCACCCATTAGTTTTCAGTGGGCTGCGATTAGCAGGAACTGGCTTAAATGCAATTAAACAAAATCATGTTACATACAGGGGTTTACCGCTTGAGACAGCTTATGCATGTTTAAATAATGCAGGCAGGAGTGCATTGTCTATGGGTCGTCATAGGGTGAATCATATAGCATGTACAGGCTTGTGCATGTCAAATTAAACTAGGCAAACATACGGCTAAGCAAAAATATGAATATTAATAGGACACCTGCTGAAGGTTAACATCGGAGCCTTGGGTGTCTGCCAGCGATTGCAATGTCTTGCATGGTGTAGGTTGTAGGTACAGGACCCCTGCACCACACGCCACTCGGGTTAGCCCAGTTTAGCCGATGCCCACCGGGTATATAGAGTTGTCCAGTTTGGGGGCGGCTTGCCAGGGAGCGATATTGTCGCTTGGTGAGGAGATGACCAGCTGTAAGCGGCACAGATGTTGGCCCTGCAGTGGTTTGGTTGTGCGGTGTAGGACTGGCATTCGTGTGTTGGTACACGGCACTCCTCGGCAGCTTTGTGCAAGACGTCCGTCCGCAGCTCGCCTCCTCAGCTGATAACATTGCCTCTGCAGTTTTCGTTGCTTTGCTGCAGTCGGGTGAGTGCAGGATTTCTTTCTGTTCTTAGGGAGCCCCGCAGGTCTCTTCTTAGTGCTCGCATGTGTTTTCGTGTTTGGCTCCTGTGTAGTTTTTGTTTGCTGTGTATTGCTGCTCAGCATGGCCCATAATCTGTCTATTATGGCTTCCAGGGTAACCGTCCATCCCGTGCTTGGTTCAGCTGGTTCAAGCCGTGGCATTTTCAGACCACGTGTTATTGGGCCAGGGGTATCCGCCATCTTTGGTGTCTCCATCCCTCTCTGCTTGGGAGTTTTGTGAGGCCCCCAGATGCGTCCGAGACCATGGCAGTTCAGGTCTTCGGGGACCGAGAGGGGGAGGAGGGATTTTGGAGTGCCCCTTCGTCCGCCAGAGAACCAGGAGAGCGGCTGTCTCTCCTCGGCTCCCACTCATGTAGGCCATCAAACTCCATTTGGTCAGTCCAGCACCGGAGAACCGTGAATCGGGTATCCCCTGGTGCAGTGCAGTCTCCCAGGTATGAATCTTGCGTTATGCTGTCGGTAGGATTGGGTGGTCTGGCAATAAACCCTGAATCTGGGCTCCAGACTCAGGAGCTGTCGGCATGTGCGTCTAGTCTGCTTGGTAGTCAAGCTCCGCCCCACTCATCTTCTTTTTTTAATAAATAAAAAATGTGATTTTATTAGTTTTTTTTATTTTTTATTATGTGTTTAGATGTGTATGTCTGGCAGTGTGTGTTTATGTTTGTAAGTGTGTGTCTGGGAGTATGTATGTGTCTGGAGTTTTTGGATTATGTTATGTGCGTATGTATCAGCACATATGTTTTTTGCAGAACTTATGTTTGGCCACAAATATGAATCTCTAGAACCAGCGTAAATTCTACTTCTATATCTCATATATATGCAGACATTTCAATTAACGTGATAATCTTATAAAGTGTTAAAGTTTTACTAAAGAAATAAAAAATTAATTCAAAGTGAATTTTAAATTTTAGGCCAATATATATTTTGAATTTGTCAATTGTGTTTTCAATTCTGTGTTTTTGTCTGAAAAATTTGAAGTTAACTAAATTAGCAACCTGTCTAAGTATGCAATCCACCTTTTGCTAGTATTGCTACACAAGTCATTTAACTTTACTGCTTACAACCCTTCCACCAGAGCTGTGTGTTTGCCACCAAATTCCACCAGATAGGTTTGTATTGAGGTGCAAGGATTGTATTAAATATGACAGCCTTTGTTTTGACTTCCAATGGTCGGATATCATGTTTGTAAATGGATGAATGGCCACCTTCATCTATATACAGTTGTAATCAAAATAATTCAACTCCCATTGAAAATCAGGTTTATTATGAAAATTTACAGACTTTCAGCTGTTTGCAAATCAAACAAAAGCAATTGAAATAGCTCAAAACAATGCATGATTCAAGTGGTTTCCCCAAATTCAACTGAAAATGCAACTTATAATGATTTCGCCAGTCTCAAAATTATTCAGCCCTTTCATGGTGGGCATCTTTAGAATTTATTAAAGCACCCTTTTGCTATTATGACCTGCATTAATGGCCTCCACTTCAGTAATATTCTTGGCTTTGCATGCTGCAAATCCCACCAGAGATTTTAAGTGGGGTTGACTGTGGTGGCCACTGTAGAATTTTCCAGGACTTCTTCTGCAACCAAGCCTTGGTGGAATTTGAGGTATGCTTGAGATCATTGTCTTGTTGGAAGGTCCAGTGATGCCCAAGGTTCAGATTTTTCACACACAGCATGATGTTTTCTCCTAAGATTTTCAGATACTTCATTGTATCCATCTTGCCTTCCACACGCTGCAGGTTTACAGTGACAGAGGATGCAAAGCAGCCCCCAAGCATCACCGAGCCACCACCATGCTTAACTGTAGGCAGTGTTCTTTTCAGCATATGCTTCATTCTTTTTCCTCCAGACATACTGCTGATCCATTGGGCTGGAAAGTTCCAGTTTTGTTTCATCGCTCCACAGAACAGGATCCCAAAATTTCTGTAGCTTATTTATATGATTTTGAGCATAAAGGAGCCGACTTTTCTTGTGCATCTGGAATAGTAGTGGTGTACGTCTTGGAGTTCTGGCATGAGACCTTCTGAGTTTAGTACGCATCTTACTGTGCTCACTGAAACCTCAGTGCCTGTTGCCACCAATATGTGAGTGTAAGCCTGTGGACAGGGTAGCTGCAAAATTTCATAATTAGTTA